TACATATATATATATGCATATATATGTATATACATATACATATATATATATATACATATATCTATATACATATACATATATATATATATAGACACACACATGTATATATATATATACACATATATGTATACATATATATATATACATACACATACAATTATATATATATACATACATACATACATACATACATACATACATGTATATGTACATATGTATATACATATATATGCATATGTGCATGCATACATATATATGTATATGTATATGTACATATATGTTTATGTTGTGTATATTTATATATGAATACACATATACACATATACATACCTACCTACCTTCCTACCTCCCTACATACAAACAAACACATACATTCACATACTTACGTACATGCCTACATACATGCATCCATGCCTGCATGCATGCACACATACGTACATGTACATATAATATATGTATATATATATATGTATATCTAGAAAATTTTATATTGCAATTATCTATTTGTTCATATTACAGAAAATTCCATGCACACGCACAGCCAGGTGACCTGGAGACGGTGCTGGGAACAGGCTGAACGAAGGTGCCGGAGCTGATGCCGGCCTGACGGGGTTTAGGGTTTAAGGTCACGAAGGTTTAGGGTCTGGGGTCTAGGGTTGAGGGTTTCAGGTTCATCAGGTGGAGAACTGGGGCGTTGAAGGGACGGGATTCTAGGTGTGACGAACTCTTTTGGTTTCAGTGCTCGTACTGGCTTTGAACCTTAACCTCAACACGCCCACGCCCAATCAAACATGGTCGTCCGGATCCCCTCCTCCTTGACCTCACAAAAAGCGGATGCCATCTGTAAAAAGCAGTCGGGGTATGTTCCAAGAGCAAGGGCTTCAGCAACAGCACCGGTGCACTTGCAGACAGGACGAGGGCAATTGAGGGGCTGGTGATTTTGCGCCGAGGCACTTACACACACACACACACACCCTAAACGTCCTGAAATGTATGTCCCACCCCTCGCACTCCTTTGCCCCATTAAGGTTCTTTGCCTCTGTGACGGCACTCATGGTTTCCTCGTTAACGGTCTCGAAGGTTGCAACTGCACCAAATATTATATATATATATATGTATATATATATACATACCTAAGCTTAAATAGGAGGCATGAACTAAGAATCAAATGTGTTCACGTATACGTGCCCAGTGAAAGCCGGGAGCATCGAAAGTAAAGGTCTTGGAAATCAGCCGCCCCGGCCTTGCACATGTAACCCACGGTCCCGTAAGCCACGAAGAGCATGTGCTCACATTTGGGCCCGGGGGAGAAAAGGATCTCCTGCACAAAACTGGTGACATGCAGGCTCGTGGGAATGGGCACCCTTTGTGGGGGGGCTTCGAAATGTCAAGTACCTCTCGTCCACAGAACGTGCGAACTGCTCTCGTCCTGGTTGGACACGTTCCAATCGGTAAAGCCCTTCAAGCACAAGTCCTTAGAAAAGATAAGCGGCAGCAGCAGCAGCAGCAGCAGCATCAGCAGCAGCAGCGGCAGCAGCAGCGGCAGCGACAGCGGCAGTGGCAGCGGCAGTGGCAGCAGCAGCAGCAACACACTTCATCATCCACGTTTTTCCTTCCGTGGCTCGTTAAAGCCGTTGGCACGTTGTTCGGATTCAACAATCTGCTTGCCGTGGGTCAAAGCAGGCTTCTGCTGCATTCTCCTGGGGGAAATTTGTGTGCAACGGGGGGGTTTAACATGTGGCTTGTGCAGCTGGGCAAAACACTTCCATCTCTGCGATTTTGAGAGTTCGTCGTTTGAAAGAGCTTTTCAGCCCCACCAGCTCGAGGAAGGCCTCTGCTGACGATGAGCGATTTGGGGTTTCGTGACGTTCGTGACAAAGGATTGTGGCCTAGGTGTAAGTTCTGTAAGGATTGCTATGACGGTTACGGGTTGAGGGTATGGTGAAGCTTCGCCCCAAGAGGTTTCAGGGCGGGTGAGAAAAGCTGCGCGATCGGTTGTGGCCTGCTTGGGGCCGCTTCCGCATCTGAGGGACTTCAGTTCTGCAACACATGATTGTCGGATGGTTTGGGGGGTGTGGGTAGGGAGGAGGGCAAGGCAGCACCAGGGGGGTGTGGAGTGGGGACAGTCGCCTTGGTGCTGAGAAACAGATTTCTGTAGGTTACCTTCCGTATCCTTCGTTCCTTACAAGGCACCCAAATGATTCCAAATTACAACACGCTGATATTTGTTGGCTTGCTGATTCTGCCGGTTCTGCTTGCTTTCACTGCTGTGACTGCAAAAATCGTCGCGAGATTCCTGATGGGGTCGCTAGCGTGTCTGAAGTATCACGATGTTGTTTGTGACGTTCTACTGTCGAAACAACTCGTCTTCATGCCACGAGTAGCATGCTGGAAGGCTGCGAAGCGCATGCCCAAACTCTGGAGAAAGCTGTGGTTCGCGATGATAGGCGCCATCCTCGGCTGAGGGTTCGAGTTTCGGGGTGGGTGTGCTGCGAGAAGGCTTCGGGCATTAAGCTGCTACGTGTGAAGCAAGGGTGCAAGACCTCAACTAGCTGGCTGTGCGTTTTGCTTCTTGCAACATGCAAGGCCTTGAGAAGCAAGGGTTTCTGAAAGCTCAACTTTTAGGGCCGAGGGTTTAGGGCTTCAGGGGTTTACATAGGGTTCAGGACTTAGGGAAACACGCCCCTTTCAGGGAAGGGCTGGGGGCCTCATAATTAATGGTCTGGAGTGCTCTAGTCAGAGCTTAAGGCTCTAAAGGCTTAGGGTTTCAGGGTCCAGGGCTTAGCGGTTTCAAATTGAGGCGTCGAGAGGCTACTACGATCACAACTTTATGCCAATGATACTGCAAGTGAAATGAAAATATTACCACCCAGCATATTCCTATATTAACTGTATAACTGGAGGGATTAGTGGTAAACCCCAAGGCCCCGATATGGGTTGTTCTCTAAACTACGGTCCCGTTTCAGGTCCCCAAAAAAAATAGACTTATAACAACTGCCCTACAAGGGACCACAATTTAGAAATCTACCCATCTAGAACCCTTATAGTAGCCTTATAGAAACCCTTATGGATCCCTTTATGGAACCCTAAAGGGGACCCTAGCTTAGAAAAATACCACTATAACTCCGCAGCATCGAGCCGGGCAGCGCCTCACGACAGAGCTCGTTGAAAAGGTACTCCGGGAGCAACGACGCCATGTCCTGAGAGGGTTTAGGACGTCTAGGGTTTAGGACGTCTAGGACCTTCAGGCTTGAACCCTAAACCCTAAACCCCTCAAGTCTAAACCCCTAAACCCCAAACCCCTAAACCCTAGGGTTTAGGGTTTAGGAGCTTCGGCGTCTTTAGCCGACCATGCGTGAACAGGCAGAGGCTAGTTACTTCTGGGAGTGGGCCGGCTTGAACCAACGAGTTTGAGGGTGCGCAAGCTGGGCTTCATCAAGCAGGGCATTACGCAACAAAATGCGGCTGGGCATCTCATGGGTTCTTGTTAAGAGATTTACTGTAAGTTGCCATAACATGGAAACCCTATTGTTTACCATAGATTGCATGATTGCATTTGGCATCTTTTGAGTAGGCCCTCGATGACCTCAGAACTATGACTTCGGGCCCAACATAACACGCCAGAAACCTACCTCCAGAAACCCTGAAACCCTAAACAAACCCGAAACCCTGAAGCCCTAAACTCCTAAGACCTTTAGACCTCAAAGCACCGAAAACTCCAACCCCGAACACCTAAGGCTCTAAACTCTAAACCCCTCATAGAGGTCTTATGGATGCCAGAAAGAGAGCCTTTGCAGGAACCCTAAACCCTAAACCCTAAACCCAAAACCCTCGTAAAGAGCAAGGTCCTGCTTTCGAGGCAACTGGATCGTGGAGCGGTTCCGCTTGAGGTACTCCTTCCTCATTTTTGACTTTGGGACCAGGGTCTAGTAACCCTAGACCCTAAATCCTAAACCCTAAACCCTTAAACCCTAGACCCCAAATCCTACACCCTAGGGTCTAGGCTTTGAGGGTTCAGACCTTTTTGGAGTCGAATCCTGGTGGTCGGGAGGCTCCGGGGAAGCTTGGGAACGGAATCTGGGGAATCTCACCATGGGTAGTTCTCTAAATTAGGATCCCCCTTTAGGGTCCATTTGATGAGGGTGCCGTACTATTTTGATCTATTTTGGGGACCTAGGTGGGGACTCGAGTTCAAAGAACTTTCCGAAGCAACGCTTTGTCACAGCTACTAAACCGCCTCCGAGGCACAGTTGCAGCTCGAGCTCCCACGGTACCGGGAAGGCTGCTATGAAATCAAACACCTGTGCTCGAAAGTGATGGACATCGATTGCCTAGAGCATTCTGCCTGAGAGTGGCCTAAGGTTGAAGGGCTCTGCTGCAGTCCGTCCGCTCTATGGCGGTGACCGAACTCATCATCATCGTCATCCCCCGTGATCATCTTCATCATCATCACCATCATCCTCATCATCGTCGCCATCATCAGTGTCACCATCATCGTCATCATCATCATCATCATCATCATCGGCATCGGCATCGGCATCGCCGTCGGATCATCACCAACAGCAATCAAGCATCAAAATAAATAGCAGTATCAACAGCAATCGCTGATTGCAAATACTCGCTGCAGAAAGAAGCAAAAGCAGTAGTAGGACAGCAGCAGCAGCAGCACCACCACCACCACTATCACCACCACCATCACCAGCAGCAGCAGCAGCAGCACCACCACCACCACCAACAACAACAACAACAACAAAGACAACCAGCAGCAGCATGAAGATGAAGATGAGGATGAAGACGATGATGAGGATGATGAAGATGATGATGAAGATGAGGATGGCGATGGCGACGGCGATGAAGATGAAGATGAAGATAAAAGCGATGATGAGGATGATGATGGTGGTGGTGGTAATCGTGATAGTAACAGCAACGGCGGTGATGACGGTGACGGCGACGGCGACGATGATGATGATGATGATGATGATAATGATGACGGTGATTAAGATGAAGACGAACATGAAGATTGACTAATGTGAACATGATTCTGAATATAAACCTGATGGCGACTGTGGTGGTCGATGATGCACAATGATGTAGTAGTTTCAGACGGATGCCAGCTACTTGTAGGGGAGTCGACACTGCAAACGGGCCAGCTCATTTTTCTGCTTGGACTCAAAACGTCTCCAAAGATGCGCTTGATCAGGACCCTAGACTCGCAGACACTCTAGATACTCTATACAAGGCACTGCATATCAGGGTTCCTAGCATGTGAAGGTCAACACGGCTTCATCAATCAACGCCCACAAGACAGGGGATTTGCACAAGTAGACACTGCTGATGAGACCTGACATGATGGAGATGCATGTAGCTGAGGCCTATGGTAGTGGTTGCTGGTCACGGGTGGCTTTTGGGTGGTGCTGCTGCCGCTGCTGCTGCTGCCGCAGCTGCTGGTTCAGTAGCGAGGTGCATCGTTAGTGGTGGCAGCGGCCGTGGTGCTGACGGCACAAGCTGCAAATGCCATGGCCCGTGCTTCAGCTAGCTCCATTTACGATATAATATGTAATATGTGACTCAGACGGCAACAGAATTCAGAAGCTCACCAACATGCAAGCATCTGAGGAGTTGGCGGAAAAGTGTTGCACCTTGAAGTCGAAACTCGAACTCGCAACCCTGTGTTGAAAGAAACGTCTTAGAATCAATCCTGGCGTGGTCGCAGCAGTGATAGTCAGTGAGAGTGGCGATAGTACTCATTGCAGTAGCAGCACAAGCAGCAGCTTGGCTACACCTAAACCCGACGCCCTACACCCCCAAAAGTCCCGAGCAAGCTTCCGCACCTGGTATTCGGCCTCGCGCTGCAACCGACGGACGCGCCGCACGTCGGAGATGTCGTTGGTAACAATTGAGGTGAAAATGGACCCAAACCTCGGGTTTAGGGTTTAGGGTTTCGATGTCGTTGGTAACAATGGAGGTGAAAATGGACCCAAACCTCGCAAGGCTTCGGAGAAGTTCCCTCCACCCTTGACCCAACCCTACCCAAGCCTCACAACGCTTGAGAAAACATTCCGCAATGCAGTCCTAAGTGGAGGTCGCTCGCATTTGCTCAAAGGGGCTAAGCAGGATCCTGAACAAGGACTTGTAGAGCATGAAACAATGGTGATAGAACATTGACCAAACGATTGCCTGAAGAAAGGCATTGTGATGATGATGATGATGAAGAAGATGATGATGATGATAGTGGTGTTGGTGGTGCTAATGCTCGTGATGGCAGGCCATCCTCATGGCAATGATGATACAAATTCTGTCAAATTTGTGATCGCAATGCGCAGATTACGATGGTTACGACTCATGGCGATGATGATGATGACGATGCTGATCATCATGACTTCAAAATCGGTGATGACTGATGATGACGATGACGATGGGGACGAGTGCGACGACACTGTTAAAGGTGAGTCCGGAGATGATGATGAGGATGGTGAAACAAGTTGTGAGGCTAAAAATACGGTTGGGAAAGATGCCCGAAATCTGAATAACAAGTCTTTGTATTGCTCAATAAATAATGGTTATTGGACGTCCGTGTAAACTGTCTATCATTATGCTTACTATTACTAACTGCTCTTATCATTGTTAGTGTTACTGTTTAATGTGATGTGCCGGTTGCTGTTATCGTTATTGTGACTGCTTTTGCGACTTCATTGCTACATCTTGCCACCTTGCTACTGTTTTCGTTACTGCACGTAGTGGTATAGTTGCTGGTGCTGGTGCTGGTGCTGGTGCTGTCACTGCTGCTGCTGCTGCTGCTGCTGCGACGACTACTACTGCTTCGACTGCCACTACCACCATGACGACGACGAAGTAAGACGCCACCACCGGATCACTAGCACGAAGAGCGCCAGAGCGATCAGTGATGTAATGGTGTTCTCGTATCACAGCGTACACGGCACCGAGACCGAGGAGGGCGCAAGATCGTGAGCCCTGTGGCCAAAAGCGCGACCACCCGTTCCTGACGTAGGATTCAAGGTTCAGGTTGGACATTGAGGATCCGGCTCAAAACCTGTGTCTGAAGTTTGTTCAGACCTGGGTTTGCAGCCCTGGGTCAAGGATTAGTTTTGGTAAAACGCGCAGGTTGGAATCCTATGAACATGCACCCTAGGCCTGCTGCAAAAGTGGCCACCGATCTCCCAACCGACTGGAATTCCTCCATCCTAGAGCCCAGATCAAGACGACGGTTAAGTGAGGTCCTCTGAATTGTGCTGAGTGGCTGACTGGAGCTTCAGCAGCATGTTCTCGGACATGCGAGAAGGAGGGATACGGGAAAGTGCAAACTCCAGGCTCGTCATATACTTCGCCTTCAGGACTCCGGCCGCTTGGAGAGTGGTCGAAACCCTAAACCCTAAGCCCTGAACCCTGAACGCTAAACCCTACACCACCCCTAAACCCACCGAAGCCGCGGCCTGCTGTGCGAAACGCACCATCTCCAAAACAAAAACCCAAGGACATGGCTCGTTTTGGGCCTTCGGGGACTACTGGTAGTGACTAGCATGGCTTCTGCTACCCTGAACCCCACAACCCTACTACACCTCCCCCCTAACATGCCAAGCCCCACGAGACATAAACCCCTCAGGCCCCACCCTATAGCACCACATAAGAATGTCTCACAGTCGCCGTAAAGTCCATGTCGTAGGTCTCAGATTGCACCCAGCCACCGTGCTGCCCGACGAAAAACCACAGGCAGGTTAAAAGGTGCAGGAATAGGCAGAGCCTTGGCTTCGGGCTTTAAGACTTTGGTGGCTCAAGGTCTTCAGGGTTTGAGGGATCAAGCGTTTCCCGGTTTCAGGGTTGAAAGGTTTGGGCAGAGCCTTAGCGTAGGGTGACTTGAAAGGTTACTAGCTGGGTTATTATATAGGGTTTTATAAGTTATATCGTTTAGGGGTTTACGAGAGCAGGGACTCAAAGTTTTAAAACTTCTAGGACCTTAGGACTTAGGATCCAGGGCGCAGGGGTGCAGGACGAGGAAGATCTGTGTCCAAGGCGTTACGAGACGGGATCATAGAAATTGTGAGTAGGAGCATGCCGAAGCGGCAGCCGAAGCAGCAGCAGAAGCTTCAGCAGCAACATTCATTCGTGCACTGCATAAAAAGTCCTTCGCATGCGTCCTCGATGTATAAGTATAGCTCTTTGTGAGTTGAGAGCTGGCTGAAAACAATTCTACTCCGCATGCCCCTGGCTGGCAACTGGGGACTCTGGCGCAGGTGCAGTACTGAACTGGAGTAGTTCAGGCACCAGGGAGTGCAAAGAGACAGCAGCAACAGCAACGACGAATTCAGTAGCAGAAGCAGCAGCCACGGCAGCAGTAGCGGCGACTCAGCAGTGAGCCGGAGCATCTTCACCACCACAGCAGATGCTTAGCAGGATTAGGGCTTAGGGTTTAGGGGTTTAGGGGTTTAGGGGTTTAGGGTTTAGGATTTAGGGTTTAGGATTTAGGGTTTAGGGTTTAGGGTTTAGGACCGTTTTTTGACACGAAGGCACAACATGGCAAACGGTCTCGAAATGGGCCCTCCCGATGATGGCGCAGCAACAAACATGGGGGCCGCAGTACCCGTGGCTAGCGTCATGTTCCGGAGGCACTTGATGCTTCTAGCAGGGTTTAGGGTTTAGGGTTTGATACTTCTAGTAATCCTAGTGTGTCATAATGTCATGCCAGTGACAGTGAAGAAAGGAAACAGATCAAATACATGGCTGTGAAATCGACATATGTATGATGGTACTAACTTTCAGTAGCGATCCGAGATGACAAAGCAGCATTCAAGCTAAAGCCGTGACAACAATCACAAGAAGAATGAAAAGAACGCTCGTCACAACTGGGACTATGTCACCCTAGGTCCTAGAGCTCTTCATGTATTCACCCGATATGTGCGGCCAGATTCACATCAGGCCCGCCAGGAAAAGGTTCAACACGGCTCGCATCTCGCGACTGGTGTGCACCAAATATACATGCAGGTACCTCGCGCGAATTATGAAAGCTTGGGGCTTTGCGTTGGAGTCAGATTGGAGCGGGTTTAGGGTCTAGCGTTTCTGCATGTGGTACTGCCCCCGATCAAGGAATCCAACCACACCGGGCCTCGACCAACCGGACATGACGAAGAGCCTGGGCAACTGCAGTAATCGAAGGAGCTGCACGCCTCGCAGCCAGTATTGAACTTGGGAGTGATCTTGTGAGTCTAGGCCTGCACATGTCAGCCTAGGCAGATCCTTCAGGTGGGCGCAGCTGGTGGGATCCTTCTCTCCGCTTCTTGTGGCTTCTTGCGGCTGTGGCACTGCGGAGCCATGCAGAGTTTGCACCCAGGAGCACGTCGACACACTGGGTTGTGATGAGAAGAACCTGCTTTAGACTGCTTTTCAGCTTTTCTGGATCTTCACAGAGGCTAGCGGCTTACTGTTAGGACTTCCTTTGCACCCAGCTCATTTGCAAAGCCTGCTTGCAACAAAGACGACTACCAGAGCTAGAAACGGAAAGAGTCGCCCAGTCTCATCGAGGAGGCGTTGAAGAAGACTGGGGCTCTTCTTAAGGAGCTCAAGCTCAGTGGCCATAATATAGAATCTGGAGTAATAGCTTTGTTTTGTTCTGGCAAAGATAACTTAAACTCCTGAACCCCACAGGACCTACAACCGCAGCCTCTGGACAGTATATCTCCGACCCCTGAACCGAAAAATCCTGAATCCAGAACTCCTAAACCTTAAAGCCTACTCCCTGCGCCCAGACCCGGAAGCCTGATCCTCGAACAAACAAGGCCTAACTCCTCAAACCCCTCGTCCCTCACCCGAAAACCCCTAAACAGCCCTAAACGCTAAACCATGCTAAACCTAAATCCCGAACCCGAAAACCCTCAAATTCCAAACATTAATCCCGAACCCCAAAACCGCGAAACGTCCGGAGGCTGGCGAAGCCTCCAAGAGAGCAAAGGCCAGCACTCGCCGCCAGGTGTCCGTTGCACACCAGGCGATCGTGGCCGAGACGGGAATGCTCAAAAACCTCTGTTGGAAAATTCGTGCTGAGGGTCCTTTCTTAACACCTCGTTTCCTTTCTGCATCCGGTCGGGAATACCACACTAGGGTTTAGGTGCTTTTCCTTGGCGTACTTCTACAGGCGAGGTATCTAGAATCATGCAAGCAATTAAGCCCTAAACCTCAAAACCCCAAAGCCCTGAACTCCACAGCCTCAAAGGGGGAGTTCGGCTGAAGGCTTGGCTTCGGGTGTATGTGGGCTCAGGACAGGGGGAGGGCGATACAGGGATTCCGGGCTATGTTTAGGGTTTAGGGTTTAGGGTTATGGCTTTAGTGATTTTCAGCAGGGTGAAGAGCTTCGAGCAGATGAGATGCTTGTTTGCATCTCGGCTTATTCGGTGGAGCTTGGTTTTGCCGGCCTTTGCTTAAACCCTGAGGGAACAGTCGAAATGCAAAGCTCTATAGAAACCCGTCTGAGCCGCCTTTAAAGACCCTTTTCTTAAAGTGCACTTCAGAGCGGCTGGAAGGCGGTTATTGAGAGGTCGTTAGCCAACGCATACTTGCCCTCAAAGGCGATCAGAGGCCATCTTACCACCTCTAGCAGGATCACGGAAAGGAAGAGACCGGCCCAGATCTTCACAAAAGGGCCCATACACCTCTTCTTCTGGGACACGGGTACGAGATGAACAGTCTGGGTGTTCTGCGTGTGCGTCATTGCCACGGAGGCCCTCCGGGTCATCCTGCTCATGTGGGTGTTGTCCTGAATTTGAGTCCAACAATCGTTGAGCTCAAACGCCTCCAGGGATTCCTCGCTCGCGCTCTCGATCTCTACGAGATCATCGACGATGTTCACAGAGCGCATGGACCTCCTGCAGGGACTGTCCTTGAACTGAGCGGCCATCGGGGAGGAGCAGTTCAGAGGAGGAGGCTCGGACTTCGGACTTGGCACTTTCTGAAGCCTCTCCGCCAGATGAAAACCGTCACCGGTGGATTCTTTTGTTGATAGAATCGGTGGCTCGGATGCAGTGAGGGGCGAGGGCTCCCCAGAGCTGCTGTGGCAGGCAGAGCCCGCAGAGCCCGCGCAGCCCACAGCCTCCTCTTTCGCGTTCCTCTCACAATCCGCCAGCAGCTTTACGAGGAGCCTCTCGATTTCACCCAAGACTCCCTGCAACGACTCTCTCTGGAATTCCACCATGGCAAAGCCTGAGGCTCCCGCGGACAAAGGATGAAGCCCTCTTAGGTCTAAACCGCTCTCCCATGTGCACAGAAGCCCTAGACCCCAAACCCTAAAACCTAAGTTGCTTTGGTGACCGCGAAGCAAGGCTGTGAGCCAGGAAAGCCGCGAAACTTTCCCTAACCCTAAACCCTAAACCCGCTTTACAGTTTAGAATCTTAGGGTTTGGGGTTGACGGTTTAGGGTTTAAGGTTTAGGGTTCAGGGTTTAGGGTTTAGGAGGCAAGCCGAGCATTTGGGATGTGGGGTTTCGGGCTTAAGGGGTACGGGAGCTCCCCTAAATTGTGCTCAATGTCAAGGGCTTTCTCGACTACTGGACTTATGCAGGGACCCAGAGAACTCGAAACCCCCTCATTAATTAACTAAGGAATATGCTTTAAATCATAACATTCAGGCCCCGAAATGTACTTAAGGTATATTCCTCAACTAAGGGGTACCCATAGGCTCCTAAGTGGTTCCTTTTTTATGGTTCATAAATAGAATCCTATAAGGTAATCCCAAAAAGGAACTACTAAGGAGCCTATGGGTGTTGGGCTCTCTGGAGAATCCTGACCGGGCTTGGGGCTTTCGGTTGCATGCTCCAGACCGAAGGAGGTTTAGGGTTTAGGGTTTAAGGTTTAGGGTTGAGGGTTTAGGGTTTAAGGTTTAGGGTTTAGGGTTTAGCCTAGACCCTCTTTCTACCCCCCTCGTGTACCCTAAGTGCCTCTTAAGGACCTACTTTTAGAGGGATCCGGCCCTAAAGCCCAAGCCGTAAACCCTAGTATACCCTATAGGGACCTGCTTTTCGGGAACCTGCCCTAAACCCCAAGCCGTCAACGCTAAGTGCCGCCTGAGTACCTAGCTTTAGGGGGATCCTGCAGTCTTTACCCATAGGCTCCTAAGTAGTTCCTTTTTATGGTTCATATTTAGAATCCTATAAGGTAATCCCACAAAGGAACTACTAAGGAGCCTATGGGTAATGTTACCCTAAACCCTAAACCCTGAACCAGTCTTTCGGGACCATGGAAGCGGGGAGACAGGTTTCGCAACCCCAAGGAGTCCCTCATTCATGTAGGAACCTGATTAAGAAACCCTGGCCCTATGACCCCAAAAATAAAAAGGATTTCATATCAAGAACCCGAATGCATGGCCGTGTCACCCCCAAAAATATACTTGGGATTTCATGTAACGAACCCTAATAAGGGACCCTGGGGTTTCTGAATCAGGTTCCTACATTAATTCATCTGCCCAAGCTGAGGCGAAAGAAGTTGGATCACCGCGTTTAACATGGACGGACCTGAGACTAAGTTGCACTGTGCACAGCCCTAAACCCTAAGCTTCTAAACCCTAACCCCTAAACCCTAAACCCTAACCCCTAAACCCTAAACCCTGAAACCCTGAAACCCTAAACCCTAAACTCAATGCACTCTGCTCAGCGGGCTGGAAAGCCCCACAAGATTTCTTCAAACAGCCTCTGGAGGTTGGGTCTCAAGGGGGTTCAGGGTTTAGGGTTTCAAGGGGGTTCAGGGTTTAGGGTTTCAAAGGGGGGTTTGGGGTTTAGGGTCTCAAGGGGGGTTTGGGGTTGAGGGCCTTTCCGCTTCTCCTAAGCCCAGAGGTTTTGTTTCCCGCATACTGAAGAGAAGCTCAACCGAGCATCTTAGACTCAAAGCTTAACTCCCTAAACCCTAAACCCTAAACCCTAAACCCTAATCCCTAAACCCTAAACCCTAAACCCTAAACCCTAACCTCCGAATCCTAAGTCAGCTTTAAAGCCAAAGCCTCGAATCGTCTAGGGTTTCGGAGGCAGGATCTAGGGCTTAGGGATTTAGGGGTTTAGCGGTTTAGGGTTTAGGGTATAGGGTTTAGGGTTTAGGGTTTAGGGCTTAGGGCAGCCGAGGTAGCAGAGGGGCCCTGGTTAATTGTTGATGCTATAGTTCGCTCATTCTTGATGTCTTAAGCTTTTTGAGAGATTGATAAAATAAAGCCCAGATCCAAAACACCGAGACTCCATTGTATGTATTGAGGCCCTTCGATAAGCTTTCGAACTGCAGCGACATTTATTCTGGGGCAGGGTATAGGGCATGGATTACTGCAGCGGAAGCCGTTGGGGGTGCTAACGGTGACGGTTTTACCGGTGCTCCTGCTTGTCACAACGGTGTTGACGGAACACTGGAGCATCCCTAAACCCTAAACCCAAACTCTAAAACCCTAAACCCTAAACCCTAAGCCAAAAACCGACGGTTCGAGCCCTACTTCCTAAGCAAAGACCGTTGAGGCGGCGCCTCAGCATTCGACCCCACTGAGGAAGACATAGTTTGTTTACTGTCTTTTGCAGCTAGTAGTATGCTTCCTTGGACCTGATTACTGGGTCCGGTCCTTGAGGGGTCTAGGGTCCTGAGAATCATCATAAGGCTAGTATTATGATAAGTGTGAGTATTAGATATATGATCGTTATTAAGGTCAGTATTACAATGGCAACAAACAACATGGTCTTCTGTGGTGCTGAGTCATGACGTGGCGGAGACGCTTGTAGTTGCGAGTAGCCTTGCCTGTGCTACCGTCTCGTACCTGCAATCATACAGGCACGCAGCAACTTCCCACACTTGAGAAGTACCCTAAACTCGAAGTATGAGGATGTCACCTTCGAGTATCAGTACGCCACGTGCCTTCACTGGGCCTTCGCTCAGCTAGGCTGGGCAAACAGCCGGAGCACATCTCAAGCTCTCTGGGTTTGGGTTTTGAGAAGCCCCTAACCTCGACAACCCTGCAAACAAATACTTTTGTAACAGAAGACAAAGTGGCCAGAATCGGGGCACAGATGAAGTCGGCCTTACCTTGCCTAAGGAGGATTCGGGTTTAGGCCCGTCACGGCTGTGGTGTCATCAGGTTTCACAGCTTCCACCACCACCACCACCACCACCACCACCACGACGACGACGACGACGACGACTACTACTACTACTACTAACTACTACTACTACTACTACTACTACTACTAGTACTACCACTACTACCACTACCACCACTACTACTACTACTACTACTACTACTATTACTACCCCGGCTGCTGCTGCTGCTGCTGC